GCAGCTGAACAGGTAGGGTTTCCTAACGTGGCCTTAGCAGAGTGAGGAGAGGGAGGATGTAACAAATGCAGTTTACCATCTTTTTGCTCCTTTGCCTTCCCTAGAAAAGGATTAAGCCTGTCCCTTTGTTACCATTTGACGAGGATTCAAGTTTGGATTCTGTTGCTGGATTTCACCTTCTCTGTTCCCTGCAGAAAGCGCAGCCGATACAGAGGGCTATGTCTGGTCCCTCCATTCCTCACCCCTGCTTGTAGTTTGAGCTACTCCTGGCCTTTGGTCTACAGCAACAGACAGGAGCCTGAAGGCCAGGTTAATAGCAGCTCCAGGTTAATGCATGTTTGCCCTCTCCTCTCTCCCTGCTAGTCAGGAGCAGCTGCAGATGGCTGTGCCTCTTGCTAGCTTGCATAACTCTCAAACACCCACTCCCTTACTATTTTAAGTAGAAGAGACCCACCCATGTTCCACTTCAATAATCACCTGAGCTCTATCCAGCATGATAATTACACCACCCTCCTGAAAGACAGAAGAATGCTTCTGAAGCCCAGCAATACTGGATTACCTTCATGAAGTGCAGCTGGACTGTAGCAACAAATTATTTGTCAATAAGTACAGTTTGTCAGCAAGTACAGCTGAAAATAAACTGTGGCATAGCTAGACTGCACGTGAAGGTCCCATCAAGTTCTCTTTTTTTAAGCTCTCACAGATGAAACAAATACTTTCTAACATAGCTTCAAGAGCTCTCTCTTTTATACTGCATATTCTGTTTTGTATCTGACCACTAGACCAGAATGTTCTAGGTTGAGATTGAAAGTAAATTAAACCTCAAACTAATGTCTTCCTTCAAAGGTCAAGTGCATCATGACTTTTTAAAACACATCTGGTGAGCAGATTACAAACCACGGTTCAATTTGTGAGCAAGAAACTTTCTGTATGGACTCACAGAGTTGAGTTCATGCGGTCAGAAATTTCCAAGCTTAAAGTACACCAGAAGATAAATCACTAAGTGGCATATTAGAGGCTACTAGAGGCCTATTAGAGCCTAAGATGTTGTTTACTGTTCTAAGAATCTATTGATTTGTCAATGTCCTACAAATCCAAGTAGGCAGAGTTACTGGAATAGCCAGTACAAACACTTCCAGGACAGTGCTTGTATCTATTTACAACCTGCCTATAACTTTTGTTTATCTGTTTGAATTGTTAGTTCAGTTCCTGCCCAGAGGGAAGTCTATATAAGAACACCCCTATGCCAAGTTTCTTCAATTTCTCTTTGAAGTATTTCTTTGGCACTGTACCACTATGCTTAAATGCAGGGGTTTTTGCATAGAAATAGCACCTTCTGTAGCAACATCTTCATCTGACACTGACAGCATTACTTGATATCAGAGAGTCAGGAGATTGATCACTGAACTTCATCTACTAGAGAAATTTAAATGACATTGCGGAGGTAGAAGGCTTAAAAGTGTTTCTGTTCGGTATTGGTCATTTATATGTCCATCTTCAGAGAAACTGACAGAAAAAATTTAGGGTTGCCCTTTTATGAATATTGCCTGCAGAGAGAACACATAACAGTTAAACTCTTATCAGTGTCTGGTTTTAACAAAAAACTCAGCTGTACAAAAGGCAAAAACAGGCTGTGCACAGGGTGGAAATGAAATGAAAAGCAAAAAACCCTGTAATGTATGTACCAACTACTACTTGTGTTGTCCAGAACATCTCTTTGCCGTCTAGATTTAACTCACACTTCAGGAAGAGCTACTTCAAAAAGAGAGTACATATTCTGTATGTACTCTCAACTGAGAAGAAAAGTGAAAGATTAAGTTAGTATTAAGAATGCATATCAAGATAGCATGACAGCATTTCAAGGAATTTTCAAGTATCTAATTTAGGTTTTTTTCTTCAGCCCAAAATATCGTAATTGAAGAGTTTAGGTGAATAAACAGAGATTAAACACCTCCTTCCCCCCTATTTTTACCACATATATTTAAATACATCATAAGACTATTAAAGTTTGACAACATCAGCTCTGGAGGAGGAAGAAGGAAAGTTTCTTCAGGAGCAGGGTTAAGGAATAAAAGGAATAAAATATTAACAAAGATAGAAATGTTCATTGCCTTTTTGATGTTTATTTCATGTCTGAATCTGCCACCCTTTCTGCTTTGCCTCTTCCTAAAATAAGAGTCTCAGGACAGCATGCAGCAGTCACCTGCAGCAAGTCTCTACAAGATTCAGGCTATTTATCAATTCACAAAGTATCAACTTACAATCCTTGCCATTTTTCATAGCAAAGTAACTGTCCATAAAGCCTACAACAAATTCAACACCATTGATTCTTAATAATCTTAGCATACATTGATCCATAAATTATTTAATAATAATGGACAATATCTTGTCCAGTGGAATTAGGAAGGATGCTCCTCTTCTTAACTTTACTTTTTTTTTAGTTGACTCCTTTAAAAATGTATAGCATCAAACACTATCACTGTGCTGCTCTCTATTGTTGTATTTTTGAAATGAGGGGTTTTTCCCCACTCCACTGAAATAGTACTAGTACTCACTAATATTCAGGGTGACTGTGACTAAATACAGAGGGTAGAAAGTCATCAGTGAACTGAAAAAGAATTCGAGAAACTTAAAGGGACAATTCTGTACATTCTAAGAGGAGTACACTGCAAAGTTCCACTTCCAAAGAACACACATTCCATGTAATAATAAGCCTTACAGCTGACCCATTAGGATTTGTTTCTCTAATTTCACAAGGTATTGCTAATAAGAAAATATTTTCCACTACTCTGTACTTCATCTAGGTCAAACATGAATTATTTTAGCACTGACAAGGAAAATAGTTTTCTGATATTCCAAGCACTGATGCGCAAAACCACCAGTCCTTGACTGAAGTCACACCAAGCTTTTTATACAGTGTATATCTTCATTTCATCATTATAAATTCATAGCTGAATTTTACTTGGAAACTGTGTTACTCAATTGGTTCGATTATCCAAAGGGCCTAAGTCCATCTCTGTTATAAAATACTGAGTTCTTTCATATATGTGCATATAGACAAACAATTAATCAAGATCTCGTGGCTGAAGTAATGCCTGATACCTGATCATAGGGTGCAGTGGACACTTTTGCTATATAAATTCTTCCACATTCAGGTAACCTATCTTAAAACTTTTGGAAAAACTTTTTTTTTTTCTCATATTTCAAATATATCTGCTCTTAGGTGGTTTAGAACAGCAGGCAGAGCTCACTTCTCACTTGCCCAAAAAACTTACTAAGGAGCTTAAAATACATTAGGAAAGAAAATGAATACTACTTATATGGTGAGATGGCACAAATTAGAAATTGTCCATGGTATACCCAGATGTAATTTTAAAAACAGCTAAAAGGTGCTCAGAACTCACAGCTCTGCTGAACGCTTTCTAGAGTTATTATTTTCCATTTAAAAATCAGTTTCTCTGGTGTACTTGCTTCTTATCTACTGTGAAGTACGCGTGACTTTTTATATTCCCACTCTTCAGAGAGTTTTTTCTTCCTCCATTACAAGAAAATGATGAAGGTTTGTTATTAAATGATACAATTATTTAAGTTCGGACTCTCTGTTAAATTTTCCCATGGTAAGGCAAACATACCTCAGCAAATAATAGAGACAGTCATGGATGGGGTCAGTAAGACAATAACTGCAGATGGGACATTGCAATCAACAAAACAAGGCTGAAGTGGTAACCCTTCAAGCGCAGACATGCAAAGAGCTGTCTGCAGAACCACCACACTCTGAGGAATCAGCACTCTCGGGTGCCTCACTGAAACGCCTCTACACTAGTGCACATAGCCCAGGGGATGGAGAGGAAGTCAGAATTCTGGGTGCAGCTGGAGGACTGTGACCCCCTTGGGGTCACAAAGATTTGCTGGGATGCTACATACAACTGGAATGCTACAATTGATGGATGCAGGCTCTTTTGCTCCAAACTGAGTCAACCAGACTTCAAGTGTTAGTAATGTAAGTGCTTGTGATGGAAACAATAACAACTGTGTTAAAGTCTTTAAATTCTAATCAGCAAACACTTGGCTTGCATGGGAAGTGGGGTTTTTTGGCTCATTAATTGCATGAATGTCTGGGCTGGGACCCCATCCATGAAGAGACAGCAAATCAAGATGTGCTTTAGATACAACATGAGCGTTCATCAGAGACCTGGTATAATTTTTTATACCTGCTTTAGTCTGCTTCTACATATTTTGGCAAAAGAAAAGATGGAAAATTGTTTCTTCTTAACCTGACCTGATGTTAACTTGGGAACTGACATCATAGAACCATGGAATGGCTTGTGTTGAAAAGGACCTTAAAGATCTACTTACAGTCCAGTGGAATTGGAACTTAGTTTATAGGGCAAACTTTTAAAATCCAAGGAAAACTGAGCAGAACTATAAATAAATAAAAATAAATCCCATAAAAGTAAAATAAAGTAGAAGAACATTTCTTCAGTACTGACAAACAAATGTGTTCTATTCAAAAGTCATGAAATTTTCTGATTATTCTTGTTTCGGTAGATAAGGAAATACATGAGACATATTTCATAAACAGTAATTTATTAAAGCAAACAGTTTCATTTTCTTAATAAAATGTGCTAATCACCTGAAAAAAAAATCATCAATAAATAGGTTTTTTTGCATTTATTTTTAGTGTGTTGACTTTGCAAAGTAAGTGTTTGCATAGATTTCACAGGTTTCTATTATTACTGTCTAAACAGCCCATTCTGCTGAAGTTCTTCAGTATTATTTGGAACATTGTGGTTCATATTAAATATCACAGATAGAACAATACAACAATAATTGCATTTTATGACACTGGAATAAATGGTTTTCAAGTCAAACCTAAAATTTGTTACAAGAAAAGGTAAATAAATAAGCCTTACTCTTCTCATTCTGAACAAAGCAAGAGTTTTTTCAGAGCTCTACCAACTTTTCCACAATGTCTTTTCTGGCTTTTATTTGTCAACATTTTAGCTAGAAAAATTCTGAAAGATATCTGCACCCTCAAGCCAGTTCCGGAAACACGATAGCCCTCTGTCTCTGATCTGTTTTCTTCCCTTGTCAGTAATGACTTCTCCAGTTTGTTTCACAATCACCAGTTTAGGAATTGCTGTTATGTTGTATTTCTTCTTCAGATCACTGTGGGAAAAAAATTAAAAATAAAACACACCATTAGGAGCATTTTAAGAAAACTCCTAGTGTCTTTACAAAGGCTACTCTGGTCAGGACACTTGGGAGAGCAGAAGTGATGCGTGCCTGGGCTTCCTCAGAGTTTAAGGCAGAGCACTGGGTAGTGTAAGGAGATAAACAAACCATAGCTGGAAGCCTACACAGTGAAATGTAGCTCTGAGAGTTAAGAGAGCTGCAGCACCCTTCCTGTATATGCTCATCACTGCTGCCTGCAGTTTCCACAGGAGCAGAGGCTCTTGGAGATGTAAAAGATGTCCATAGAAGCAAAGTTTGATATACTCTTACACCTTTTTTTTTACTAACCCAAACCAGATGTAATTTGGGGTCCTTTTTACAGGACAGGAGAAGGATCTCACTTAGATCAGCATTTGATATTCATTCTCCTGCAAATTCACCCAAGTGTCCCACAGTGCTACTTCCTGCAATCACCATTAAAGAAAGCACGATGCACAAGCTTTTTGTGTAAATGGAAGAGACTGAAGATATTCCTTAAACTCCCTCAGTGAAATAAGCCTTTTACATACAGAAAAGTGAGCAATCAAAATATCTGGAATAAGAGCCACCCATCTGTGTTGCCAAAGAAAAAAAATTCAACTCCTCTGTACCTTTAGAAGAATCAGAGGACAGACACAAAACAGGCAATAACAGAAGAGCCAAATTCCAAAACACTAACAACATCTCTCTCAAAGCATACTTAAAATACTAAATGGAAATATGTTGCCTGAGCACCATCACCACAAGCAAGAACATTTGCTGTATCAGGTTCAAAAGCTACAGAAATTTGAGTAGGAAAAAAATGTAGACAATGCTAAAAAATGCTTGACACTAATACATAGACATTCTCAATGATTTCCTGTGAAGAAAAAAAGTACTGAAATATAAGACTTAAGTGAAATACTGACCCAGATGAGGCATACCTGAAATGTGCTTTCTCTTCTGCATTTTTCCTTAAGAGAAGAAAAATCAACAGGTGAAGCATACTGCTCTGCCATTATGTTGCTGAGCAATAATGCAGGAAATAGCACGGAGGCAGCAATAATGGGTATGGACCAGGTTTCCTTTCTCAATGAATTGTGACACACAAGCAACCAACCAAAAATCCCCATAGAACTTTCCAAAATCTGCTAAAACAGGTGAAAAAAACACATTCCAAAGCAAGTATGCATAGAAGCCCTGTAAAATTGCTATCACCGCATATCACCTGAATGACAAACAAGAGGGGTGGAAGACGCTTTTTATTGGTTCAGTGAACGATAAACACAATTGTAGCAATCACAGACAGAGCACTAGGAGACTGAAGGAATGGAATTTGGTATGCAGACTGGAATCTTACACTTTACTTTCCTAAGGGAATGCATATATCCAGCCCAGTATGGCACCTTGTTCAGACAGCCTCAGGGCAGAAGGTTGCCTGCATCAAACCAGACTGAAGCGTGCACAGATTTTGCTCACATTTGTGTGCAGCTTTCGAGATCGGTGGACCTGAAGAAGGCTCAGAAAGAGGTCTGCAGACAGTGCTTCTTAATCACTGTGTACATAGGTACATGTGCTTACAAAAATTACTTCTTAGAACTTATTAAGATCATTCTTCCTGATAGGGACCTAAAATCCCATGCCTCACCTGCACAAACCACATATGTGCCATGGGACTAATCCCATGGCAACTCATGGTATCATTAAACCATAAATAGAAATAAAAACCCATGACACTAAGACTGAGGCAAACAGGAAGTCATAACCATTGTTGGATCTTTTTATTCTTATGAGAAGGTTGGATGAAAGTTTTTGAGACCACAGATTTTGTATTTCTAGATAGTACAGACATTAGCTGGGAGCTAATTTTCTTCACAGCAACTCGCATGGTGCGTACCAAAACAGCACTGATAACACACCAGTGTTTTAGCTATTGCTGAACAGTGCTTATGCAGCAACAGGGCCTTTTCTGCTTCTTGTGCTACTATGCCAGTGAGTAGGCTGGTGGAGCACAGGAGTCTGTGAGGATGCAGAGCTGGGACAGCTGATCTCACACCACCAAAGGATGTTTCATATCATGTAACACTATGATTAGCTGTAAAAGCTGAAGAAAGGAGGGGGAAGGGACCAACATTCTGAGCCAGGAGATTTGTCTTCCCAGACAATCATTACAGGATGAAGCTACCCTGTGCTGGAAGCTGTTAAATATCTGTCAGTGAATGGGAATTAGTGAATTAATTTAATATCTTGCTTTGCCAGTGTATTTTTACTTTTGCTTTATCTATTAAACTGTCTTTATTTCAACCCCTAAGTGTTCTCACTTTCACCCTCCACATTCTCTCCCCCATCTATCCAGGCTGAGACACAAGTATCTTTACATAAGAGTTTAAGGTCTATGTGCAAGACCATTCTTGAGATGAAGACAACACAGGGCAGATATAATATAATCTAATCTTGGGAACATAAATGATAAATTTTATACATATGTGTAATGTCATATCTGACAACACTTGAATTATAACAGCTTTCACTTGGAAGTGCTGTCATGTGAAAGTGATGGCTTTCTTGCTCATCTGCTTCTAGCAGTATGCCCTGCAATACACAGGTGTAAGTATTTTCTTTTAGCTGTGAAATTTCTGTATTGTTTAATCTTAACATAAAATAACATAAATCTTAACACAAATCTTAACATGTCATAAGCATGCACATCACATGCTTGGGATTCAATTTTAAAGTGTCTGCTGAGATTTTGCAATAGCAGTCTAAAAATCTAAGAACTAAGCAATTTCTCGTAACTGCACAGACACTTAACATTATTCTACCTTTGTTTTTTAGCGCCCCATCCTCCCCAATCCACCCTCATACGTAAAGCTTCCTATTATAAAATGTACATACAACCTTTTCATTTTCTTTTTATGGGCGTTTTCTATGATTCTAATTTTTACTGAGCTGTACAGGCCAACTCAGTAAATACCTGCCTACCTGGAAGCCTGCAGGAACTACTGTACACACCAGGCACCCCCACACAAACTGGTGCCTTTCACCACAGGGTTCAGTACAAATACAGCAGCAGTATGTCTTTGTGTACCATTATCAAAACATCAGTCCTATTTAACACCCTTTGTTGTTGATGTTCTGTCCAACATCTGCTTTTCCTCTCTACTACCCTCTTTCTCTTCCAAGTGCTCACTTCAAGTATCAAAAAACTGTGCCTCAGGCAATAAAAAAAAATTACATTAACCTGCAGACAGTAAAAGGATCAGGAGCAGTATTTCCATGCCACAGACCACATGAAGTAGTGAAGGTGCAGTCCTATCTCTGGGAAATAGTCAGGACTGACAGCATGGAAGAGTCTGGAGATCCTGCTTTGAATTCAGTATTTTCCTTCTCTGAAGGTAGGTTTGACACTGCAGTGTTTCCTCTACACACTACAAATATGAATACTGACTATTTCTTAAGACAAAATTAATCACCAATGCTTCTGTTCTTGAATACTTATTTTGAACGGCATACTTAAAATTGGCTCTGTTGTGTCTAGAAGAGATATCAGTCTATACTGCAATTATATATCTTAAACGTTGAAGCAACCAGCTAGGATATTTTAACCTCACTGAAGATATTAAATGCCTTCTTTACACAGTCAAAAAAAAATTAGCCAATTCAATTAATTGCAATGGAACTTTTAAAATATTAATAAAATTTAAAATATTAATAATAAATTATCTTACCCATTTTTAAAAATTATATTCTTAATTAGAACTAGTATCTAGCCAGAATTATAATTTGGATTAGTGACTACACATCTGCTCTAAGTCTACAATGATTCACCAGTGCCCCTGACACCAAAGTACCAGTTAATCCAACCTAAGCACCTTGAACAGCTCCACAGAGTCCTTCATTGTTACACACAAGAAACACAACTTCAAAAACATTGCTTATTCATATTCCTCTCTACTCTGTTCTTCAGCAAGCCATTGTGATCTCACAGTCATCTGGCAGGACAAGCCATGCTTCTCTACAGAACTGTGAAGGACATTACAGGATGACACAGAAAAGCCAATTAAACTAGCTCTTTGCCTCCGCTCTGCATTACTTGGGCAAGAGCAGTCAGAAATAGACCTCTAATCCACAGAGGATGAAGCTGTAAGCACATTCCCATGGGCCATGCTGAACAGCTTGCTGGGTGCAGGGACTTCAAATGCTACATTTCCTGATGGAAACTTGCCTGCATGCTATTATGATTAGTAAATATCAAATACAATTACTGCCTGGGAAGATTGTAGAGAACTATGCAAAACAATATTTAAGCCAGTGGAAAAAAGGTCTAACATAATTTGGTAGTAGACATCCAGAAATGAGCCAGGAAAGGATGAAATTGTTCCTGGCTTCAAGTAATTTGCTCTTGAGTTTGTCAAACTGCACAGAAAAAACAAGAATAACCAACATGCTCCCTGTTGAGTGAGTAGTTGGGGGGTTACACACCGGGTAGCACACTGGGATGGATCTAGAATTAAAAGGAAAGATAGAAGTTACTAAAAGCACTAGAAAAGATTTCTTTCTTAAACTAATTAATTTGGCTGCAAGTTTTATTGCTCAATCTACATTTAAAAGTCATATTACCTTCTTGACTTTGGTACCACCTGGAAAAAATTTTCCACCATCGACGCATTTAAAGAGAGGGGAAAAAATCCCTTTATCAATATTTACATTCTTTTCAAGTCTCCAGTTACATTTCAAGTAACTGGAAACATACATTTCAACATACGTTTCAAGTCTACAGCCATTTTCTTGTCCTCCTGTAATACCAGTCTATACTTATGGGAGCTAAATCAGATTTCTGAAAGTCATCCAAATCAGTCTCCATCCTTGACTTAGGTCATCAAAACACTTCTTGGTATCATCCTTCACCCCATTACTTACACAGAGTCATGCCCTTTCCTTCTGCTGTTTTCATGAGCAGGCTGCCTACAGGAATGTCATTTTGGAAACCGAACAGCACAGGAATTTTACACCCCTGTTACCAGGTAAAGTATGCCACCGCTAAACTCCAGCTGATACTGTATCTGTCTGAAATTCTTCACAGTTTCCTCAGCTTCAAGTAGTTCAGTTACAAGTCTTGCTGCGTCTTCATTTGCCTTTTTCCCAGAGCACTAACCTAGACAGTGCAGACCAGCCCTAGTTACAATGACCACCGTGCTGAAGAGCAGTCACTCGATCCTCACTTACCATTCGTTTTTACCTCACTCATCTCTTTAACACATGCGGTCTTTACTAACTCGTGTTCAAAGATCTTTCGGTTTCCAAAAGAGGCGCACAAAACCGCGTTCTTTACTTATGGGACGGGCTAAAACCAGTGAGCAAGCAGTGTGACAGCCAGCGGCAGCCGCGGCTCGGGGCGGGAGCAGGGCCGGGAGACGCTGCGAGCCGGGCTCAGGGACTTCAGCGGGAGGGCAGGCGCGGGCTAGCGGGGCAGAGGCGGAGGTGCCGGGGAGCTGCTGTGTTACGGCTGTTCGAGTGCCGCCGGTACTCACTGCTTGTACGGGTCGTGGAAGGGCAGGGCCAGCCAGTCCCCGTGCATGGCGCGCATGTAGCCCACCATCTCCTCAGCGCTGTGGTCGGAGGAGATGAAGACGACCTCGAAGGGGGCGGGGGGCTCGGTCTCCTCCAGTAGCTCCGTGTAGAAGTCACAGAGGACGGGGGTGAAGTCGCGGCACGGCGAGCACCAGCCGGCGGAGAAGTACAAGCCCACGACCTTGTTCTGCAGGGCCTCCTCGGGGTCCACGCTGCGGCCATCCTTGCTGACCAGGAGCCGCCCGCTGAACACATCCACCATGCTGGCACCGCCGGACCCACCGCGAGCCCGAGCCGCGAGCCCGAGCACTCCACAGGGATCCACCCTCCTTCCCCAGCGCCACACCGCCCCGACACGCCGCGACACCGTCACCTGCCATGGCACCGCCGCCGCCGCCGCCGCTTTATAGCGCCCGCCGCGCCCGGGCCCGCCCAGCGCCCGGCGCCCGGCGCAGCCCGGGAGACGCGGCCCCGTCCCCATGCGGCTCCGAGCGCCAAGGCGGCTGTCACAGGAGCCAAGGACACATCAAGGCTCGCTGAAGATGCCGAACTTGCAATAAATTTAAGCAGCAATCGCGTGTGCCGGGTCCCTTCAGCTCCCCATGGAACTCACCGCCTCTCTCCTGGAGGTCTCATCACCAGGCTTCGTCAGTTTTGGCAATAAACTTTTTATTGCCAGGAGTCCGGCACTTTTTTTTTTTTTTTTTTTTTTTTTTTTTTTTTTTTCGTAGCATGGAGAATTATCTGAATTCTGGATATAAAAGGGGCTGTCTACTCTCTGTCCCAGTAGATAAGAGGAATTCTCATTTTATTCCAGGGCACTTATCATGTGTCTGCATTGAATAATGCTTTTTTTCCTCCAGCTGACATTGAGTTAGAAATTAATAAAAATTGTATTACAAATATGAAATCTTTTTTTCTGCCTAAAGCAAGCTGCAAAAACGGAAATGAAAGATGATTTGGTGGTAGGGCTATTAAATGACAGTTTAATTAAAGGATCACAATAGGGTGATAATCAAACATGGCACGTTTTCTCCTTTCCATGAACTGTGCAAAACCCAATTAAAGAGAATTTATCTTTAAAAAAATTATCAGTATCCCCCAAAATAAATTTTAGTGTTTATAAAGGATACTTCAAGTGCTTAATGAAGCTAGCTTAAAAATATTTCACATTAAAACAGTGTGTACAAATGCATTCTAGGATTTAGTCTTAAGTTTTTCCCCTGTTGTAATCTGCAGCCTCTCAAAAATCTGTCAATTTTACTTAGAGAAAAGATAAAATTGTGACAAGTATGTATTATGATTCAAATACTGAACACTAGAATGGAATGGATGTTAATTATGATGAGTATTTGCTTGGGTAGATTGTAACCAACTTTACAGTGAAATTAAAGTCCAATTTCTACATCTGATCATCTTCTGACCCTATAGTATGATCAGCGATACTTCAAGTCAGAATTCCAGTTTAAATTTGTATAGGAATAAACTGAGCACAAGTATTCTTCCCCACATTTATTTCCTTTTGAGGTCTTTTTGAAACACGCTTTTCTTCCATTGACTTAACAAAAAATTTTTGTTTGTCTGTGTTCTGTCTTGAGTGAAAAAGAATATAGTATCATATAAAATAGCTGAACATGTGAGAGAAAACCCAAAGATGAACCTCAGAAGAAACACAGCAATCTTGGGAGTTTTTAGTAGGCTCATCAAAACTGGTTGTAGGGTCACTTTGAATTGGGAGCTGTATTCCTGCCATTTCGCTTACCCCTTTTGCCTTTTATTATGAAGATGTACTGCTAGTTAAAACACTGTTTGTTCCTTGTTCAAAAGTTCACACACTTAAAAGAAAATAGTTAAATCATCATGACTTTCTAAGAGATTCTTTTGAATTAATCTTTACAAAGCAGGCCTTCTTATTTATTTCCAAGTATATCTGGACAAATATGTTACTTCAATTCTGATATTCTACTGGAAAACAACAAAAAAAACTGCTTAGGTGTTTAAAAAGTAGCATTTATTCAAATACTGTATTTCTCCATTTTTCATTAAGAGTTAACTATGCTTTTTTCAAACTCAGATACTCATCTGCTTCCAGTACAGAAGTGACATTCAAAACAGTGTAGTCCTCCCATCTGTCACATCTCCTATCAATTCTTTCTCCAACTTTTGAGGGCTGTTTTCTGCAGTTCCCCACTTCAGAATTCCTCTGGATGTCAAAAGTAAAAGACAAAAGGAGCTATGAAGGTTGCCTGTTCTTAAAATAGCACAGGTGAGAAATTAGGCTCACCTGAGTTTTTGCTTTGCCATACTGTCTCCCTTTGTGAGACCATTGTGAAACAGGAGGGAGTCAAAGCATTTGGAGCCTGTAGAATTACCAAAAAATGGAAAATGTTTCCAGACAAGTTCATGCTACCATAGGTAGATTCTTGATATTCCTACCAATTTCTCCTTCCATCGGTAGTGAAAGTGTACTTTCTCAGGTATTATGAGTGGAAGCAATGGCCCAAGGAACTCCCAAATGTTCCATCTGTACAGGTTAGAAAGCTGGTTAGCCAGAAATAGGGCTATGCCATGAGAAAAGAACATACTGAGATTGTCTTTGAGATCTCTAATCATGGAGAAAAACGTTGATAACTACATACATCTCCCTGGGGAGAAGATCTGGATGTACATGACAGCGATATTAAACTTCTTGAAGCTCTTTGAGGAAGCGCTACTAGGCATGAGGAACCAGATACCTTCCCTCAGGAAGCTTAAGGTGATCAACTCTCTAATCATATCAAAGATTCACTGAAAATGCTGCATAACACAGAAAATCTTGTCTTGCACCTGCCTTTGAATTGACTACAGAGACATTTCTCCATGACACTAATGTGGACCAGTAAGAAATGCCTCACTTTATGATTCATACCAAAGAGACTAAGATCTTTGAGTTGAAATGTCTTCTAGGACTGCTCTTGCTAGTGGTGTTAACACTGTGGTGATTTATTCCCTCCCCTAATCTCCACTTGGACTGAAAATAACAGAGCTTCTTTACACAGAACCTGTAGTCCTGTCTCAAGGTAGTGTGTTAGCTGTGATGCGATGCTATCAGAAAATCTGCACACAATACTCATCCACTGGAAGCCTCTGGGGAATTCCAGGATAAAATGAAACAGAAATTTCCTACCACAAAAAATTGCACTTATGATTTTGCTACTAATGAGCTTTTTATTATTGAATTTACTATATTATTTTTAAGGTAACAATATTTAGTCCTGTCTTTAATCTAAGCCCAAGACTTTTAGTTTATTTGTGCTCATATTGCAAAGATTATCTTACTTGCCCTTTGAGATTTGCTTCAATTAACACTGAAGTTAATTACATATCTAGATTTTGACAGACAGGTCAGAATTTAAAAAAGAAAAAAAGAAGAGCCTGAATCATAAACTCTTGCTTTCAATTATACAGGGCAGCATGCTGAGAAAGACCTGCAGAAGAAATGAACTGGAAGTAAAAAAATGTTCAGACTTGCTGACTCCTAAATAATGTAAGAAAATACAACACGTGCTCAAAGAAAAGTAATTCCATACACCTGTGGTGGCAGAGTTAATGTCTCTATAAGCTATACACAAGATAAAGTGTGAGAAGGTTCTGAAAGCTTGTTTAGGTCTTTGAGGAAGACACCCATTGCTCTCTCCTTCATGTACTGTCTTCATAGCTGGCATGGGTCTGAGTAGTAAAGAATTTGATCCCATAAACATTTGCAATAAACAGTCTCAAAACTTGACTTATATGTATGATGCTGGAATTTTAAATGAAAAGGTATAGAACACCAACTTTTAGTCTGCCTATAATGCTTAAGTGTTCTGTGGGAAATGCATACTGTCATAACACAGTTGATGTTATACCCATCCAGTGAGAAGCCGTAAGGCAAAAGCTGACTAAATTCACTCAAAAAAGAGTGTGACCTGGTTGAGGGCTTGTTGGGTCTGTGTTCAATTAATCATTAATGCACCACCTAGTTAATTATACCCTGATGAAAATGTGTAAGTGACAAAACTAATGAGGATAAACTCTGGTTGAGCAGTACTGTATGTAGCACAATCCCTGAAGAAGTCATATTAGCAACTGGCCTTGGTGAATCCCGTTATGTGTGAATACTAGCCAGACAGAAAATCAGACCCCAAAGGAGACCAGAACACACAGAATAGAGGAAACACATTGGTGGATTGACGAATTAAATTTGTAGCAACCATTGATAAAATTCTGTAAAATAGCTTGGTTTTAAAAATTCATTTTCATAATACATAAAAATGTGTTTTACAGAAGAGAGTTATAATCTGAGTTATTGGTGAGAAAGCAGGCAAAGTTACTCACCACAGTGTATACAGTGAAAAAAAGAAATAGAAAATTTCTTGATCTCAACCCAACACATTAACCAATGAGCTGGGGAAAGAAGCCAGTGCACAAAGAATTATTGAGCCAAAAAAATTAAATTTCACTATACACAACCTGCCAACTAAAGTAGTTATTGCATATTCATAGCATTCCTTAGAGCTGACACATTTGGAACACCTTTTCCCCAGCTGGGTTCAGGGTCTTTATGACATAGTCAGCAGTGATACAGATACGTAGTGAATGCTCCTTCAAGATTGTTCTTGGAGCTGCTTCCCCTACATAACCTCTAAACACAAAATAAATAATACCAGCTTTTCTCAAGTAGGCAAATGAATCAAATAAGTAGCACACTTTTTTTTTTTAAATTATAATTTTATTATTTTTATTTGAAGTCTTTGGTGCCCATTGCAGCAGGTATCAAGGGTTACCTGTTTGGGAATCTTACTTTTTCTTCCTAAGAGATACTGGGATGTAGCTTAGCATTCTTACCACAAAGACATCTCCATCATCAAGACTGAATGAGAGCTGGAGCAGCTACCATCTAACCAAAACATTTTAGTACAGAAGATACTGTAAGGTATATCCTTTTCTTTTGTTTTACTTTTTTGAAGCAACAGATTGTTAGCAATAAGAGGCAATAATTATCAGAGAACACTGTGCTGGTGAGGCCTCACTTTGGGTCCTGTGTGCGGTTTTGGATGCCACAATATAAAAAAGACATTAAGCTATCAGAGAGCATCCAAAGGAGGGTAACAAGGATGGTGAAGGGCCTTGAGGGGAAGCCTTATGATGAGTGGCTGAGGTCACTTGGTCTGCTCAGCCTGGAGGAGACTGAGGGGAGATCTCATTGCAGGAATGACCTGAAATTGTATCAGGGGAGGTTTAAATTGGATATTAAGAAAA